TTGATTGAATTTACCTCTTGTAAAATTGCTATTTTTAACTTAATTTACAATTTTTTATTGTTTACACCGTTGTCAAGGTAAATGTTTAGTTTTTACCCCATCCACGTGTTAGCTTTTATAGATGTTATATAAAAACTGTTGAATCTAAATTAAAATTAACAAAAAAATGTATAAAGCAATTAACTGACGTATACTTAGAATTCATATTAGGGTCTTGTGAACTAAACAACAGAGCTCACAACCAAAAGAAAAAGTTTAACAACGAAAGAAAATATTTTTGTTATGGTTTTTTAAACCTTCCCGTTTAGCTCCCGATAGCTGCATCGTAAGAAACAAGGTGATAACTGGTTATACAATTTTTTCCCTCTACTTTCAAATATTGTTGGTGAAAATTCTTAACTTTACTTGTTTTTGGATATCGATGGTAGTACCTTTTACTCGCATAATTTTTGTAAATAGTACAACCGAATCCTTATTGTGCAATTTAAAAATTGCATACACTCTAATTTATGAATTTCTTTCATATTTTTGTCTATAGGAGTGAATATACGCTCTTCATGTGTTTTTGAATTCTATGAAAACTAGTGGTAAATGGCATCGTGCCTTAAGGCAAATTGCTGGAACTTTCCATACCAAAAATTTAAATTTAATTTTTTTTTAAACTTTGAAAGAGTTGGATTTTTAGGAGATTTTAAATTTTTGAAAAGAATAGACCTTTTTAGAGGATTTTTTTTTTAAAAATCCGTTCAACCGTGTTCCCAAAATCGTCGGAGATACATATATACATTTTTTTTAAGGTATGCCAAAATGTTCAGAAATCTCTGAAACGTAAAGATATATAAATTTTTCATTTTCGATTTTTGCGATTACTATAACTTACCCTACGGGAAGTTAATAATAACTTCAATTTTCAATATTCAACAGGTTGCAAATAATATTCACATTTTGTTCCATTTATTTTATTTAATTCTTTTAGTTGAATTTTAGATTAAATTTAACACCAGGAATTAGTAATAGCAGGTATTGTGCATAAAAATGCACATAGCAATTGCATCGTGAATCAGTGCTTTACGATCTAGCAAAAGTAATCAATCCGTGCTTTTGACTGGGCAATATCTCGAACACTTCACCGGATTCTAAGTCGAGCTTTCATGTCGAGCTTTTATACTTAATGTGTCTTCCTATTTCTATTTATACACTCGACCGAGTCCGCGCTCCCCACTCCCGCCGCCCTACCACCTACTACCGCCCCACCGCCCCGTCTTCCCGCCGCCCGCCGGCCGTGATTTTATCGCCGCGATAAAGGGCTACGAATCGCGTAATGCGAAATGAGTCTCGTTGTTCCATTGTACACGTTTTTCTAATGTTTTCGCTAATCTAATGTCTGTGATAGAGACAAGAAATCTTGTTTTACTTTGTTAGATGTTGTAATGATCTAAGAATAGTACAAAAACTTCGTTTGGGCGTGTCTTTGTAATAGTCTGTCTTTTATTACGATTAAACGAATTAGCATGTGCTGCGAGCATAAAGAGATGGGTTTGCTTTCGCGAGCTTTCTTTCATCGTAGAAATAATTAAAGTCGGTATAAAGTAACGAAGATGGTCGTTGAAAGGTTTTAAGTAATTAGAAACTATCGTGGGAAATGATATTACGAAATTTATACTTTTGATGTTTTGTTAACGAAATGTAAATGTATATGCATTTTTTTCATAAATAAGATCTGACTGTTATTTTACCTATAATTAAAGTGAGCCGGATTGGCCAGAATAGTCCTGAACGCAATCCAACTTGCGTTCAGAATTTTTTTGAAAACAATTTTTTTTCGGGTTTCCGGATTATCACAAATATTTGATAAGGTTCTTAATTTTCAATACAATAATTAAACCATAAAAATTGATTATTACTTATAAAAGTTATTAGCTAACATTAAAAACAATATTGATTATGAAGAAATTTTTACATAATTTTATACAATGCTTAAGGGAATATTCTGGTGTAGAGGCATGAATGTTAAGTCATTTTTAAATAATTGTAAAAAAAGGCAATCAATTTTTTTACTATCGTTTTTTTATGATTTATTTATTCACGTTACAAAAGCACACAAAAATTAAAACAAAAAAAAAGTTAATAACTTTGATAATAAGCAGTGGTTGAAATTAAGGATCTCAAAAAGTTGACATGTGACCATGTCCATGATTGCAACCCTCCTAATAATCCGAATAAAAAAAAGGAAAAGATTATTAATCTAGAAACATGTCGTTATGGTGTAAACTAGAATTAAGTTAAAAAATTAATTTTTGACAAAATTGTGATTATTTGAAAAAAAATATCAATTTTTTACTACGTTTGTAAGTTTCTAAATTTTTTTATATATATGAATTAGGTATATGAAATATCTATAAATTATTTTGAAATATTTGTATATTAAAAAAATAAAAACAAAAATTTTTACTAATGCATTTTACTTGCAACTAAACCTTCACCCTTACTAAGGTGCAAAAAGTAAAAAATAGCAAATAAAAAGTGAATCAAGTTAAAATAAGCAATTTTACAAGAAAAAAAATTAAATAAATAATTGTTTCAACTCTGCTGTTGAATATTTCTGATGAAATACCAGATCAAGGTTAATTCTAGTGTTGTCTCTGTAAAAATATGCACCCATATTATTTATATTATACATTGGTTAAATAATACAGCTATTATTATGTAAAAACTCTTTCAAATTAAAATAAAACATTCCCAATTTACCCCGCCTATGGGGTAAAAGAGACAAGGTAACAAATTTTTGAAAAACAGCAAAAAGGACACATTTCTAGCATGATGATACGTGTTATTTGTTACGATATATATATATATATATATATATATATATATATATTTAATCACAATATTTGTTACAACTGCTAAATAAACGTCTAGTAACATCAATGAACAAAAACATAAATATAAATAAAATATATAAATATGTAAATATTTGTTACAATATAATTGTTTTAGTTTTCACAATATAATTCCCCAAAGTCAAACTGGACCTTTGTGCCCCGCCCTACCCTATAGATAAAACCGTAACATTAAATAAAATGTGGGTCAAGAGAAAATAATTGCTCCAACGATAATTTCCATTTACAAAATCCCTTTTCATTCTTGTTACATAATGAGAAAAATTTCACATCAATGCTTGTCAGGTCGTCTTCTCCCACATAGGAAACAGATTAATGGTTGAATTTCCTTTACTAATAACTTGATATTTTACTCTGCTCGCCCTGCGATAAATCAGGACCATCAATAAAATTCCCTACGCTTTTGTACGACGTAGAACACGGCTGATGTATTATAAAATCCAGTTAATAAAACTCCTCATAATCTTATTGTAGTTTTAGAGAACATTAAAAAGTGGATGAATTTTATTAAAACACCATGCACTTTCTTTCTTTTATTATTTTCCCTCGTTGAAGTGCAAATGGAACTCGTTTGTCAGAGGTTTTTTACACAGATGAATGAATATGCTAACTGTATGAATAAAATCGTCATACATTTTCTTAATAGAATTAATTTTTAGTAGAAAATACATAGAGAAATTAATGTATTGTTTTTGTAATAGAGATGAAACAAAAAAATTAATACCATTTAATATTGTGATAGTATTTTGACCCTTGCCACTAGCGAATTCCGAGATTTATATAAATTTTCGAGTGGAAAGGATTAAGCATAATTATAATTATATATTAAGAAAAATATGATTAATCATATAATTTTGAGCACCTTTTAAATAAAATGATAAAAATTTAATGTCATTTAAGGTTGTTTCATGGTGTAATGGTTAAGCTCACGGACTTGTGTAGACGGAGTACAACTGCTCTGTACAACCTGACATCGTTTAGCAGTGATGTACATTTTCACTTGGAAACATAGATAAACATATGTTTTCAATTTTGGTCACTGCGGTGTAAAATGACAATGGAAAATCTCTTACACTGTTCTTCCCTGAATTACTAAGAACATGCATTCAAATTGATATCTCGGAAACAATAATATTATTTATTGGTTTGGTAATGCAAGCAAAGAAACCTTTCATACCAATAATTACAAAATAGTGGTTCGAGTTTGTCACACATACCATATATTATCATTATTGCTACTATTATGATTAGTGTAGCATGTTGCTATAATTATTTCTGGAGATACGAAAACGTAACCCTAGAAGACTAATAGATTCATTATACACATTATATATATATATATATATATATATATATATGTGTGTGTGTCAGTATAAGGTTGTATATATAAACGTTATTCTCCGAAACCCTCCAATTCTACGGAATAAATATTTACCCAGAGGCGCATAGCCAAACGAAAACAACATGGATAGAAGAGGGAGCAATCCCATGATACAGAAACCCACTAGAAATGGTTCGTCAAAAATATATTTATAAAAAACATAAATTCTTTTTTGTCGTTGCCACAAATATTTCATGTCGTATATGTTTTCCTAAATTCGTTTATTTGGAAACTTAATTGGCCTGATGATGTGGTGTAACACTAATATTCAGGCCCGTATTAGAGGAAAATTCTAACTCAAAAACTGTTGGCAATAAATATTATATGATTTAATATGATAAATTATATAATATTATTGAATTTGTATAATAAAAGCGAATAATATACAACTATATCTAGATGTTTTTTCATTAGCACCAATCACCTCAAACATGCGCCCATATAGAATTTGAGAATTTTTTTCACCAGCAATTTTCTTGTATTTAGAAAACATTTGTACACTTGCCTATTAAGTGCACAAAACCTGACATACGACAAATAAAATAAAATATATAAATATTATGATTATTACCAAGTCAAACATTCATCTTTTATTCTTGAAGCCTTTTTTATCTAGATAAAGCTTATATTAAAATTGCAGAATTAATATTTTATGTTATTTGAAAATATTTGAATTTACTACTAGCAATAAGGTACTTAATAATTATTTTTTTACTCACATAATCATTAGCTCTACCAATATCAGGATGAAATTCCACTAACCACTCTCCAATTTTATGATATAAAGTTATGTTAATAAAATTTAATCACCAATGCCAAAATTGCTACAGTATCTGAAATATTTAAAGTGAATGTTTTTATTATATTTTGTTACAAATATTGTCGCAAAATGTCTTCATAAAACGACAGACAAATTGTATTCAAAAATACATATTCATAGATACTAACAAAATTTGTTAGTATTAAACAAATATAGTAGTTGTTAAACAAATATAATTTATTTTTTTCTAATTATAGAGTATGTCAAAATAATGAGGAAGCCTTAAAGTGTGAATCCTAGGAAATATTGAATGGTTTTTCTGCATTTGTTATATATAATAATAATATTTGTGGAGTCACTAAATTTGCGATTTTATGTATGTAATCATTTATACCATTTATGTAATAATTTCCTTTTATTACGAATGCCCTCCATTTTATTTTCTTTCGTTTGTCGTCAATCATCTATATTTTTCTTCTTTCTAGTCTTCATAGCGCGTATATTCTACCTTCAGAATCGTCGTGCAGTAGTCCTCTTGCAATATGGGTTCGACCCAGTTTTCTTTTCATGATCTATTCTAGTAGAGAAAACTGGATCAGGCCCATATTGCAAGAAGAGTTACTGCTAAATGTCGTTGTCTAAGATAAAATAGAATGAACGAAAAAATTAGGAAGAAGTAGAATGCACCTTATTGACGACTTAAGAAAAGAAAATACAGGTAATTAAAAATCCAAGCACGTGACAGTAAAGGAAAATACAGGCAACTAAAAATCCAAGCACGTGGCAGTAAAGGAAAATGTATAAAAGTGTAAAAAAACGTGAATAGCAGTATTACTACTACTACTACTACTAATAATAATAATAATAATATTAATAATAAACAAGGGAAGGAAAAGAAATAAATAATACGTGGTGCTCTCACATCATGGATCTCCCCCCTTAGAGCAGAAGACTAATTTAACCCTTAGTGGAACAAAATCAAAACAATTTTTTATTTCTTTTTTCATTAACCATCAGAAGCAAGATTATTTTGTAAAATTTTTGAAAATTTTGAATGTGACCTGAATGTCACACGGGCCTATAAAGGGTTAATTTATATAACATTTACAACCATTGCTCTTTAAGTTACTAAGCCCATGGTATCTTATTAGTAATTATCTATAACTCTGACCAATTCCGGCTCTGTTTTTCGAGTATGTCCCGAATCGTTCACATCAGAACGATTCTTGTGTCGTGCAGACGAACAGCAGTGACCTTCGCCGTCTAGCAGCGAGCCAAATCGTCCGCGGCCGTGAAGCCGGGACCCGGTGACGTCATGCGTCACTAGTCACTAGTCACTACACGCAGCCGGTCATTGTTGGCGACAAAACTACGAAATGACTACTACTGTACCAGAAACACTGGACTCGATTAGGAAATAGATTATTGATATTATTTTTTGTTTGTTATACTATTAATTACAATCTGTCATGTTACGACATTCAGTAATTGTTTTGACGATTATATGTATTTTTGAATGGATGGCAACCAGTAGTTCTTCATATTCAGTTGTGCCAAATTAACTATACTCAAAGTATTTGTTGGCATTTTTTGATTATATATACTGCTATACCCAATTTTGACTGGGGTTATATTTGAGATAAATAACCTCAAGTGAAAATTTGACATCAAAGCTAGTCTTGGTCGTGACTGGAATCGAACCAATTAGTTTGTACCAACTAACATTCAAACATTCGTTCTACTTGAAACGTCATTCACAGCCGTCGGCTAATACGATATTTTTTTTTAAATGATTGTAGTACAATTGTCAAGTATATAGATGCCTTTGCAATTCATAACATGAATAGTCAAAAAAACTGCTGTAGTTGTGGTATTTTTATTATTAATGCATGGAGTTGTATTTATTGGAGATTTATTCGAAAACATATAAATAATATCTTTTTTTTTATTTTTTTTAAATTTCGAACAAGAATGTTCCGTATTCATCAAAAACCTATATTCACCAAACAACAAATTTTGGAAGAGATCTGGATATAATTGATAAAAAGTGTAATAATTTTAAATAAAAAATGTAATAACTCAAAAACGTATATTAATTTTTTTTTAAATTTTGAACAAGAAGTCGTTCAGAATGTTTCAAACACCTATATTCATCGAACATCAAAGTTTGCAAAAAACCTTGATATATTTGATAAAAAAATGTAACAACTTTAAATAAAAAATGTAATAACTTAAAAACGTATATTAATTTTTTTTTTTAAATTTCGAATAAGAAGTCGTTCAGAATGTTTCGTATTTATCAAACACATATATTCACCGAACATCAAATTTTTGAAGAAACCATGATATATTTGATAAAAAAATGTAACAACTTTAAATATAAAATGTAATAACTTGAAAACGTATATTAATTTTTTTTTTAAATTTCGAACAAGAAGTCGTTCAGAATGTTTCGTATTTATCAAACAAATATATTCACCGAACATCACTTTTTGGAAGAAACCTTGATGTAAATCATGTAAACCTTGATAAAAAATGTAACAACTTTAAATAAAAAATGTAACAACTTAATGACTATGATGGCTAAATTTTAAATAGATTATTGTATAGCAATTTGAACAATTGGTTTTTTATTCATTTTTAAAAAGGATGTGTTTTTCATCAATTAATTTTTTTGTTGAAATATTCAGTAATTCTGTCATTCAGAATGTAATTAATGTACAATCTAATAACTATAATTATAATAATTTTATGTATGATTTGATTATTAACACATTTGATGTTCGAAACGAATAATTGATTTTTTAATTTTTACCGTCGAACAAATATATTGCTAAAATGCAAATTTCTAAATAAATATCAAGTAAAAACACATGTGTAAATAACGTGTGTATAAAGAACAATCACACCCTCTTTAGCAGATAGATATGACAGATAAACAAAAAGTCTGTAGCAACTATTCAACATTCAGTTGCAATAGATCGAATTATATACATATATTAAAACGGGTAATGACTATAGTTAAATATTCAAAATATGACATTTAAACTGCTAAATACATAATACCAAATCATATTTGTTATTATATTTTCTGTATTGAAGTATTGAAATTAAAAAATGTACACATTTTTGGAGTGACGAATTTGAACAAAAAGTACAAGATCGCTCCACCGTATTCAAACTTTAGGATTTCCTTCTGCTAACATAATAATTGTACTAATTCCAAAATTTTCTATAAATATATATATATATATATATATATATATATATATATATATGTATATATATATATATATATATATATATATATATATATATACTATGTATGTATCAATAGAAAATGTAATATTCAATTTCAATACTCTTTGATACAAAAAACGTAATTATAACTATCGAATTTGCTTTATAGATTGGGATAATTAAATTTCTTGATTCAACAGACTCAAAGGGGATTGTATGTTCTGTCGATATGATGATCCGCACTTGATTGATAACGCAAAATTTTAATGGAAATATAATTTGATACTCCGGACGCGATCAAAAGATAGAAACATACACTCAAGTATATGAACATCCACAAATACCTTCACAAAATGATTGATACGATTATATATATATATATATATATATATATATATATATATATATATATATATATATATATATATGTATATATATATATATATGTATATATATATTTCTGATTAGATATTTACTTTGTACCTTATTACTATGATTAATGAAAACATAATTTACAGTACAGATCACGATTACTGCGCAATTGGAAAAATAATGATTACTTCGTTAACAATGAAATCTAAAGTAAGGTGTAAGTCTGGTCTATATATCTTTAAATGAGTTCGCAATCTCTGCAAACAGATAAATGAAAGAAAAATAAATGGTATTGAATTTCTAGTACGTGCTCTTTCTATGTGCCATTGAATGTTAGAGTTCAAAGGGTCGTGATAGGATAGTGAAGTAGTATGGATAAACTGTAATTCAAAATAATCGAGTTTATAAGTATACTATAACTACTGTAGAAGTCGAAATTTTAATATATGTGGTTGTCTTTGCTGGAGCATTTATCTACGTAATTTATTATTCTCAGTTCATATACCATACTGTTTAACATTCAACATATTTCTTGAGATTTCACCATACTGAATTTTAGGATGCCTGAAGTAAGTTAATCTTGTATTTTCTTGAATTCACTTTTAAATATAAAATTTTACTTTAATATGCAAAAGCCATATCATTACTTAGAATATACATACTCGTAATTGAACGCAACTTATTTACGTTATATATAATTATCTACAGTTACATAAATACGATCCATAATATCTCTATATATGAATTCGATTATGTTAAATTACGAATTAAACTTAATCATTTATATACAAATTCATATCAAATGATGCGAGCTCTCGTTAGAATCAATCAATTATTCTGTTTCGAGCAGGCAGACTCACTTTCACATGATACGACCTAATAATCGCGTAGATTATATGATCGATGTCATTTCGCTGTTCATAAATTATGGACTAGTGAATTAATTGCGTCTACGTGAATATTTGCTATCCGTTTTATAGGTGGGCAAAATCGAGGGAAAGTGGCTCTGAGGCCGCTTTCCATTTTCGTGTTGTGATTCGGCTGTGACGTCGACGCGCATTGTAAATATTAGCTTAGCGATAAAACGAGCAAATGTCTCAACGATGAGAAGATATGAAGACAGAAAGGATTCTCAACCTGGGATAGACAAAATAATATAAGTGAAAGAAAATGAAAATTAGGTACAAAATACTATCGCTAAATTACAAGTTCCTAACATTTTAACATTTGTCAATAACCCTGCATGTGAGTCACGACAAGCAGGGTATGGTGCGGCACAAAAATCCAATTTGACTTAAACTAATTATACTGTCTAAACCAAATGAACTACAACATAACAAATATAACACGTATCATGTCCAGTAAAAGTCCCAGTTAACTGCTAATTGTAGTTCTATTTTTCTAAAATTTACATTATTGTATTTTTTCACCCAACAGACAGGGTAAAATGGGACACCAGCAA